AAGAATTGAGGATGTGCCGGAATTAATATCTCTGCTGGGGAAATTTCCTTTAAATGCGAAAATTGGAGTTCTGTTAAATGAGGGTGGCTGGGTCTTACCTGTCTCTGTTTCTTCTGCTGCTCTGGAGTTTTTGAAGCAGATTGCGGTGGATAATAATAAGTGCATTTTCTGGAAAGATGGGAATGGAAAGGGTCTGAGCAATTATATAAAGTTTTTTTATATACAGTCTCCTACTGTAAATTGGCATCAGATGGTTTGGCATAAACATCATGCGTTAAGATTCTCTTCCTTTTGTTGGATGGCTGTATTAAATGGTTTAAATACGTCTGATAATCTTATTCGTAGGGGTATCTCAGTCAACCCGGGCTGTGTGCTGTGTAATACTTGTGCTGAGTCTACCTCTCATCTGTTTTTTTAATGTGATTTTTCTTATGCTATCATTACTAATATGTTTTCCATCTTTAAGAGGCATCTTTTGAGACCCAATCTATTCCAAGTTTTAGACAATCTTGCTGGAAAAGATGTTGAAGTCCGACCTTTCTATCTTCTTATTGCTTGCTGTTCGGTTTACTTTATTTGGAAAGAAAGAAACGAGAGGAAATTTGGTAATCACCAGAATTCTATGCTTACTGTGTTGTATTCTATTCGGAAGGCAGTATTATTGAAAATTTCTAAATGGAAAATGCTGGGGAATTGAGGGATCTATTGTGATCGGGTGCCTTATCGGTGTAGCTGCTTCATTTATCTGGAACAGATTTCTGCCTGATCTTATCGTCTTGGATCTGGATTGGTTTTTGAGGGCAATGATGTCTGAATTGTCTATCTTCCCTTGGATGGCAAGGTTATTTTGCCCTTTTCTAAAGCACTGCGATAGTTACTTTGCAACCAGGGAATTTTTGGCTTTGGGCAATTCATTTTACTGAGCCCTTTCTATTCTAATTTCAATTTCTGTCTCATTCCCTGTTTGTGACATGTTTCTTGTTTTTGGTTCTTATTTGTAATTCCTTAGGAGGGGAGTTTTCTTTTTGCTGCTCACATAGGCTTTTGAATCTCTTTTCTATATCTTTACCTGTAACTATCTTCATATTTTAATGGAAAGGGCTTCGCCCAGGTTATCCCCAAAAAAAAAAAAAAAAAAAAAAAAAAAAAAAAAAAAATGAACGTCGGCGCGTTGGCGTTCGCTGGCGTGCGGCCTATCCTCGCAGGTTCGTCCCCGGTTGTATAACCGTCCCTTTCTGCCGTCAGTCCCGAGATGGACGGCAGATGCCAGTCCACCTGGCGTAGGCCGCATCCAAGTGTCGGTGCCCGGACGTCGTACGGTTAACTGCTTAAAAAGGAAATCGCACCAAATATTGCACACAAGAATTAGCCCATTCACCTTTTCAAGTAGGGCCCACTGTCGGTAGATCAAACTTGACACTGTTCTTTTGCCCTTTTTTGAATCCTTGCCTTCTTCTATTGAGCCTTTGTCGGTTTTCAAAGATGCTTACGGAGGATTGAATCGATGATCATTTTGCGCACGAATCTTAGAGTCGTCTGATGATGCGCGGGGGATTAACGGGTTTCCAACGTGTGCAGCCGCATCCGATATTTTCCGACAGCTGTCCTCCATGAAATACGGGACAAGACCTCGCACGCATATCGAGGACCGAAGATGTCATACGGAATTTAATTTGTAAAGATTCTAAATGTGTTTCCAAAAATAAAAATCTAAATATTATTTTGCTATATGAGAAATTTAATTTCCCCAAAAAAAAAAAATGAAATTTATGTTTAAAATAGATTTTCAAGCCGGGTTCCGATCCAATTTGAAATTGACCCAATTTCAATTTTTTTTTACTCAATTAGGTAAATGGATCATAAGCCTGAACCTGGACCCCGACTAAATCCCTATCTAATCTAAAATGACTCCATCTGTTGATCCATTTAAGTGCAATGGGTGACCGAGCACTGGCAGTCGAGTGAGCAAGTGAGAGTGATTGGGCAAGCGGGCAAACACAACAAACGAGAATGACGGCCTAGAGTCATACATGAGCATGATGTCGAGTTTTGGGTTGCTTTAAGTTTGATCTGAATTCAACCTAAACTTATAATTGGGTCATGATATGAAACCCAAGCCAACCCCTTTTTCCTAATAGGTTGATCAAGGCCAAAAAAAAATTAGGTCGAACATGACCCGTTTTCCAAATGAGTTGACTTGAACCCTGAATTTTTTGGTTGAGTGTTCAGATTATGTCAAATATTAACACCCCTATTAGTAATTGCTGGTAATAAGAGTAGATTTAGCATATATTATATTTGAAATCCAATAAAAGAAGAAGAGTTTTGATTATATCAAAAATAAATTTAGAATTGACCAAAATTTCTTCAATTTTTTTTTCGTTAAACCAAATATTAAAATTCCTAAAACTAATACATTTAGAATGATTTACACTCATTTTACATTTGTTGCATGAAAAATAAATATTTGCAAAGATGAGTAAATGCATCTGATTGTTTTTTGCGCTCTACTTTGTATTATATTTATGCAAGAAAAAATTACTAAAATAAAATGTTTTATTTTTGTAAATTTAATTAATTTACTCAATAACAAATTTTCTTAGCCTAAAAGTCCCCAAATAAAAAAACCAGACGTTCAATAATTTTTATATGTTGATCATAACTGAAGCGGGTCGGGTTGACCTGAATCCGAAGCGGGTCGGGTTGACCCGAACCCGAAGCGGGTCGGGTGTGGGTCTAGAAAATTGACCCGTTTGTGAAAACGGATCGGGTTGACCTGAACCCGATAGTGCCAGGTCAATTACGGGTTCGACCCGAACCTAACCCGTGACCCTAAAATTGAGAGGTCTAGAGAATGTCTGAAGAAAAAATAATTAAATTTGGCGCGAGACAACATATGATTCTTTTCTAAATTTAAAGTTTAGGCTCCAACTAAAAGTGGATTAGCTTTGCATGATTATCTTAATAATCATTGGTGGTAGCCTTCTCATTATCTTATATAGTTATATGTAATAGAACACAAAATAAATAATGAGAAGAAACTGCTTCCACGAAAGTTCGAAATTATTTGATTAAGAAAAGCAGATTAATTATAACTTTTGTCTTAAGCAGTATTTAGAATCTAATGAATATTAATATGTGAGGGAAGTGCATTGTCACATCTTAATTAAAGGTTTAGTTAGAAATTATGCATCATAATGATTGTAATTAGTACGTAAATTAGATTTTTTTTTCTTTTTTTTGAAAGATTGGTGGGATCAGTGGCTTGTCAGTGGTGATTGGCTACTTAGCAAATGCTAAATACAAGTTTATTAATTTTATATATTTAAAAAAAAATTATTTTAGGTATGAGCTCTTTATGTGTTGATAAAGTAATCTAATCCTGTAATTAAAATAAGCTATTTGGCATAATTGGGAGCATCTGAATGAAATAAAGTTCTTAGTTTATGGAGAGCTCATTATCATATTAAGGGGACAAAAATGCTCTCTTAAGTTTAAATATATGTGACAGCAGAGACTTTAAGATTGCTGCTTAATATATTTTGGATTTAAGAGTGCTAATTCTAATGGATCAAGGAATGCTTACGGCCCATTAAAACTTAAGCCCATCAGGCATCAACCTCGATCCACCATAAGAAGTGACCCGTCCATGGCTCCAATTAAAATAATTAAAAATTTTGAAATGAAAATATATTTAAACTCACATGCTTTATATAAATATAATTTAATATTTGAAAATAGGCCAAATAATATGCATTTACTTGTATACTGTAAGCCTAACACATTTAAAAATATATTAAATTAATTACAATTTATTATTTAGTTACTTATTAACTCTGGTGAAGACAATTCAAGATCTATTATTGCTCATTTATCCATCTTCAGCACACCATATTTGTATTTTTATTATTTGTACATTAGTGCACCTTTAATGTTAGTGATTAAATTATCATAATTAGAGTCACCTTAGATGATTTGGTCGATAACCCGATTAAGAGAGTAGATGTATTAAATTTTATGTGTGTTAAGAAAATAGATATAAACCTAAAAAAATTGTTTAGAAAATATTAGAAATGATATTTTTTTATTAGATTTAAATAAAAATTTGACTCTTAACATTAGGGCTGCAAGCGAACCAAGTGTTCGACGAGCTACTCGATGCTCAATTCGATTAAAACTCATTTGTGATCGTTTAACTGACTAAACAAACAAACTTGAACAACATTTTAAATACTCGATCCTTAAATAAGCATGCTTGAACACTAATGTGTTCGGTTCATTTAAGTTCACGAACAACATCATTTGAAGTTCGTGAACAAGCTCGACATTAAGCTCGATAAAAAGCTCGAATGGAGAGAAATGCAACATATAAGCTTCATCTAAGAATATATTCATATAGATTAATCATATTTTTATTTTAAATAGACAAGTGATTTTATTATAAATTTAATTTTCTGAACAAAAGACATTTTACATTTGTCTATATTTGCTAGATTGTTTGTTTAAGATGTTCATGAACAAATTTAATGTTTATTTGTTCAATAAATTATTTGTTAAATATGTTCATGAACATAGCTCGTTAAGGCTTCTTTGTTTAAAGCTCGATAAGCATTAAACGAACTAAAAATGAACCAATACTCGGCTCGGCTCGATTCATTTGCAGCCCTACTTAACATATAATAGAAAAAAAAATTATGTAACCAATCCCATGTAATAGGATAAAGATTTGATTATATTGTTGTTATAGAAAAATTAAGTTAATAATTGATAATGCTTTAACAATTAAATAGCTCACTTAGTTTAATTATGCAGACTAAACCTCAAGTTATTACACATGCTAGATGCCATTTTTAAAACTGATCATAATGATTATAAATATGCATAATCTAATATATTTGTAAAATAAACAATATTACAAAAAATATTTGCACAATCATTGTATTAATTTATTCACATTATACTAATCACTATCTCCTACCTACATAAATATAGATGTTCTATAAGGTTAAAGTTGTAAAATACATATTACGCAAAGCCAAAATGTAAATTACACCAATCTTATAGAATAAACCACTTCATGATATCCATTTCCTCCCATGAATTGGAATCATTGGAGGTAACAAAACTTTAAAATATATAAAAAAGGTCATTATTCTTATAATGTGACAATTTGGTAATATCAAGCAAGATAAATAGCAGGCATTATCAATTATAGAGAGGTCATTCTGTGTGGGCACCGGATGGAAGAACCGTCCGGTTTACACTTAGATACCGAGCGGTATCGAACCTCGGTGCCTCTCGGTACTAAGCTCGGTACCAGACGTCGTGCATTTTCATTGAAGTCTGGACTCCGCACAGGATAATTTTTCCTACTACTCACACTACCAGTAACCCAGCGGTGGCTCGTCATCTTCTAAGTCACTTTCCATGGCACCAAGGAAGGTGCTAATAAGTGGATAGTGCCATCCATCCCTTGCTCTAGCTTGCAGATGCTTGATTCTTTCCTTCAAAGCATGCCAGCTAGAGGAATCTTGGGCTCCAGTTGAGGAACAAGCTGCAGCTTCTGGGAGGTATTTTAGAATAATCTCGTCACCAACTGTGTTGATTTCCACGTCCAGTTGGGGTGTAAGAGAGTAGCCGAGAGCTTCAACGTGGCACACACTGGAACATGCAGAGAGAAAATGGTGATAAGGTTTCAATGCTAACTGAAATGGACTTGCAGAGCATGAAGGGAAAAACACGTTTGCTTCTAAGGTAAAGAATCAGGTTTCAATGGATTACAATAAAATAAATAAACTGCAAGAAAGAAGGGGACTGCAGAATGAAGGAGTGAATCAAAGTGTGGAAGGGCTTGAGAGAGCCTTTTTAAGTTCTGCGAACTTTAGGATTGGGCAAATTCTTCCACTACTTACAGGATTGGTAAATCCAATTGAAATAATGCAGTATTTTGCTGGGAATAAGGAAGTCCTCAGCCAAGGAAAATTTTTATGTGCGGAGACCGCACACAAGCTTACGTTCGGATTTGTTATTCTTTTACTGTAGTTTTGCAAAAGGCAGCTAATATATAAATTTTAATTGCGTGTTAGCTGCCCTTTTACTGCGCTTTTGCTGAGTATTTATAAAAGCGCAGCAAATACTCGATTAGTAAGATTTGTTGCGCTTTTACTGAGCTTTTCCTGATTTTTGCAAAAAGGCAGCTAATACGCAATTAAATTTGTATATTAACTGCCTATTGCAAAAATATAACAAAAGCGTAATAAAAGCGCAGCAAATCCAAACGTAAAAGCCTGTGTGTGGTCTCCGCATAGAATAATTTGCCCTCAGCCACAGGCATCTAAATGTCTGTTCAATTGAAAATATTTGATGTGGAGTTAAACTTACCGTATAATTTGGCCTTAATATGATGAGGTATTAAAAACTAGATAATAATTAGACACCTGACATATCATTCATGGGAAGTTGGCCAAAACAACAAAATAACTGATAGAAGAAGGAGCCAACCACCATTTTTCAATGAAAGGCCCAACTCATAGGTTTTAAGTAGAACTCACCATATATAATATAAACCATCCATCTCTTGTGCTTGAACCCTACCCAACAATTCAATCTGCAATATTCCGCCAATGCAAAGAACGGGGCTAGGAAGTTTGAAAGACTGCAGGGCATTTTCCTATACCCTCAAAAGTAAATTATGTCAGCAGAGTATAAAACTAGACATATATCTCTCAAGAAAAAAAATTACATCTAACCGAAAGGAAGAAGTAAAATTGCCTACAATGTGACTTGAGATGAAAGGTGGAAAATGTAATTGAAATTTCATTCATGCTAAATTTGTTTTCACATGCGTCAAAATACTGTTATTTTGTAAACTCGTGCATTAGGAAATATATAAAGATATCAAATCCAATCGCAAGAATAAGAACAGTCACAAAAAGCTGCAGTACATGGTAAAGAGAAGATTCGGGTTACCAGATTCAGATAAGCTCGCTAGAATATGAACTACAGATACGCTACACTGTGGAATTAGCCGGTCCGGTAGATAGTAATGGTAGATAACTACAGTTTTGTATTAAGCCCAAATAAGAACCACAGGTTAATCTTCATGTGGATAAGAAGCTGCAGGAAAAACAACCCCAGAACCTGGGCAAATTTTTTATCACAAGCATGTCAATAAATTACAACAACGACAAGCCATTATCCCTCTTTGTGGGGCTGGCTAGATGAATTCGTTTTCTACATTATGTAATATTAAGTAAATTTATAGCAGTCAGCATTCATGGTTGATGATTTTGGATTTCAGGTACATATTTTGGAGATTGAAAAAAGATTGGATCCGAATGAGTTCATAATTTGGGGGCATATAGTCAAAAGAATTCTTCTCTATGATGAAAAACTAAAGTGAATTTGACAGCGATAAAGAAGAGCCAAGATCACCTCTTGAGCCAAAATGAAAAAGTAGATGAAACAGAAGTTCTAGTCGAAACATTATAAGAAACACACGTTTCTCTGATTGCATAATTTATAGCAGTAAGAATTCATGGTTGATGATTATGCAGCAGAATTTGAGCAATTGGTTTGAAATGTATCCTGGCGAGCCAAAGGAAAATATAATTGCTCAATTTATTGGGAGTTTGAAGTCTTCTCTCACTAATGTGGTACAATTGCAACCTTATCAGACACAGATATCATCAATTTAGTTCCCACAGTTGAGAAACAACCACGATTGAGTGAATTGTGAACCCCTATTAAAGATGGAACCAAAAATTCAATAGAGAATGGGTTCAAAATCACTGTTCAAGAGGCAGACAGAAGGATCCTCTATTGAAGGTAGTATTCCAGGCCAGGTAAGACCAACAACAACCACCAATCTACCAGCTCACAAATTTTTTAAATGCCTTAAATTCAATCACATAGCTTTGAACCAACAAATTGTCTCGCTGATAGAATAAACTATTTTGGAGAAGGTTGCCAATCACGACAAATCTAGGAACCCAAGCGCATAACATATATTATAGGCCGACGAAGGAGAATTGTAGATAGTTAGATGCATTCTGAATATCAAATATGAAAAAGAAAATGAGAAACTTCATCAAAACTTCTTTAGAACAAGATTTACGATTCAAGAAAAGGTACGCAATCTTGTGATTGATGGGGTAATTATGAAAATGTGGTGTCCAACATCTTTATAGGGAAATTAAGCCTTCCAACTATATGCATCCAAAATCATATCGATTATGTTGGCTCAAAAAGAAAATGAGATAACAGTGATAACAATGTTTGGTTCAGTTTTCGAATGGCAAAAAAATTCTAGGAACATGTTCTATGGGACATTGTTCCTATGGATGCATGCCAATTAGGAAGGCAGAGAAATTTGATTAGAGAACTAAGCATGATGGATTTCATAACACCTATTCATTCAACAAGGACCATACCTCTATGGTGTTGATGCCACTAAAGGAAAATGCACTTGTCAAGGACGACAATAAGATTGCATTACCTCAATCTTTTTTTATTCAAATTCTTAAGGAGAGTGCTCATGATTCGCCTTGATATTGCCATAAGAAAATTCAAAATAGCGGCTACCACCTAAAATTATTCAGTTTATGCTTCAACAATTCTCTGATGTATTCACCAAGCCCATTTGACTCCGTCCAATGCGAGAAGTGCAACATGCCATCAATCTAATCCCTAGATCAGCCATACTACATAGTCCCACTTATCTTGCCTCCAAGGGAACACGAGGAGCTCCAACGACATGTAGACACCTTGATTGCAAAAGGCTCTACCAGGTCCAATGCGAGTCCCTGTATCATTCCAACCATCCTTGTGCTGAAAAAGGGAGGGTTCTGGCAGATTTGTATAGATAGTTGAGCTATGAATAAAATAACCATTAAATAACACTTTCTAATTCCGCGACTTGACAACCTGTTCGATCAACTATATGAGGTAGCATATTTCTCCAAAATCCATTTTAGATGAGTGTAAATCATCATTCAAACCCCGAGATGGATTGTATGAGTGAATAATTATGTCATTTGGAATATCCAACACGCCCAACACTTTTATGCACTTTATGAATTAGATTTTTTTTTTTTTGGTGGTTGTCAACTTCAACATCCTCGTGTATAGTCGGGTAGTGGAAGAGAATGTCCAACATCTATGACAAGCATTTGAAATTTGAGGACAACTATCTGCCAACCACACCATATGTGGCATCTAGTAAACAAAATGATTTTTTTGAGCTTTATAATTTTCGCAGCAAGTATGGAGATAGACCCAACAAAAAATTGAGGCCATTGTGAATTGGCCGACATCACAATAGCTAACAAATGTTAGGAGGTTCCATGTAGTTTTTTTTCATCATCAATTCATCAAACTCTTTAGTTTTATTGCTACACCCATGATGAAACTCCTAAAATCCCCGCCATTTGTTTGTAAAAAGCAAGCTCAAGCTAGCTTTGATCAACTAATGCTGCTAGTGAGCTCAACACCAGTGTTGGTGCTTCCTGATTTTAATCAAGTGTTTGAAAGAGAATGTGATGCCTCCAATATGAGCATCGAAGCAATTTTAAGCTAAGGAGGCTATCTTGTGGCATATTTTAGATAGAAATTCAACGAGTCTTGAAGAATATACTCCACCTATGATAAAAAAAAAAAATTATGCTCTTGTGTGGGCTCTCCAACAATGGAGTCATTATCTATTGGCAAACCAATTGTGTTGTTCTAAATCACAAAGCACTTAAATATATTCATAGCCAAAACAAATTGAAAGTAAAGCATACTACGCGGATGGAGAACCTATCCTCATTGTAATATATTCTATAGCACAACAACAACAACATCAAGCCTTTATCCCACTACATGGGGTCGGCTACATGAATCCTTTCTCTCCATTGTGTCATATTAAAAGTCAAATTCTCGCTTAAATCTAATAAAGAAAAATCATTTCTAATATTTTCTAACCAAGTCTTTTTAGGCCAACCTCTACCTTTCTTAACATAAGTCAAATCTAATACCTCTACTTTCCTAACAGGGTCATCGGAAGGCCGCCGTTTTATGTGACCAAACCATCTAAGGCGACTCTAACTAATCTTATCTTCTACTGGAGCTACTCCAACCTTTTCACGTATATGCTCATTTTGTATCCTATCTCTAAGGGTAAAGCCACTCATCTACCTGAGCATCCTCATCTCTGCCACACTTCAACAATGAAAAAAAAAAGGTAAGGCCAGTCCAACCCAAGTGGTAGACGTGTTAAGTCAACGACTTACTACCTTGCAAATCAAGGTTGTTGGGTTTGAAGTATTGTGAGCTTTATATATGCTCAAGACCTAGATTTTTTAAAAAAATCTAACAAAATTACCAACATGGAGCTTACAAACTCTTTCATATCAAGTATGGCTCTCTTCATGGCCAATAGGCTATGTATTTCGAGATGTTCACTTCAAGAGGCTATTTTGTATGAAATTCATGACGATGGATTGATCGATTACTTTGATTGTAATAAAACAATCATGATCATCCAAGACAAATTTTTATGGCCATTTTCACTAGAGAAATTGATGGTTATGCCAAGAAATGCCAGATTTGTCACTTAGCTATAAGATGAGGCAACAAAACATAGGATTATATCTATCCCTTTCAAGCCAAACAAATCATGGACTGGTGTTAGCATGGATTTTATCATTGGTCTTCCACAGACGTAGCATCAATAATAGTTATAGTTGATCGATTTTACAAAATGACCCATTTTGTCCCTAACACAAAAACACTAGATACTACCCCTATGGGCTCTACTTATACAAGAGTCCAAAGTCAAGTTCCTTAATCAATTTTGGAGAAACTTATGGGTAAAATTAGGAACTAAACTACAAATTATTCACAGCTCACCCCAAACGAATGGCTAAACTGAATCCGTAAATTATAGCTTGGGAAATATCTTGCGATGTTTCGTCAGCAAGAATATTTGATAATGGGACGAAATAGTAGCTTAGATGGGATTTCACTAACAACCGATCAAGGAGCCAAATCAATGGTCGAAGCCCCTTTGAAGTGGTCCATGGAAGAAATCCCATTTCCCTACCGGAATGGATTCCTTTGGTGAACAATGACCGATCAAGGAGCCAAACCAATGGTCAAAGCCCCTTTGAAGTGGTCTATGGAAGAAATCCCATTTCCCTGCTGGAATGGATTCCTTTGGTGAACAATGATCGATTATAGTACAGATGCAGAAATCAAAATTCAAGAGATTCAGAAGCTCCATGAACTAATTCAACAGCAAATTAAGAAGCAAAATGCTAAATATCAAGTGTAAGATAATACATTAAGGAAGTCTGCCATCTTCAAAAAAAGGTGATTTAGTTTGGATCTAGCTACACAAAGAACAATTTCCTCAGGGTACCCATGGAAAACTTAAGCCCAAAGCTAATCGAACCTTTAGCATTATTAAACACATCAATGATAATGTATATAAACTTGAGCAACTAGGAAATTATTATGTGTCGGCTATTTTTAATATTGTAGATCTAATCCACTATTATAAAGCTACATTGGCTTCGAAACAAGATAAAGTCTCTCCAAGCCGGGAAGAATGACGCGGAGCTAGAGTTGAAACAAAACAACAAGGGGTCACATATTTGGTTGCAACAATATCGGTTCAACTTTTTCTTT